AACAAGGAAGGGCATAGAAGAAGCAACAGCACAGCCTAGACTGGGCTGCTTTGGCTCACTGGGAAGTCAGATAAAAGGGGTCCCCTGAGACAGTGTTGGGGGTTAGCCCTGGGTGAGCTGCTGCTGCTATTGCTCCCCTGCTTGCAAGTCTCACATCCCTTGGAGTTGAGGAGATTTGTGTCTTTGGGAGAAGGAGAGGGGAAGGAAGGGAATAGAGGGGCGTGGTCCCTGGAGGCAGAGCTTTGAGAGTGTTTCTTTATATTAAGTTTTGGTTTTAAATAGAATGGTCAATTGGGGTCTCTTTGAGAAGCAAAGACTTTAAGGGAGTGAGCACCATTTTTCATTAGAATGAAGATGGGATTTTTGTATTAGACTGAGAAATAGAAATTCAATTAGGAATTGAATTTGTTTGGGTTGATGTAATGAGTACCTACTAAGTGTCAAGTGTACTAGACATTTTATATCCTTCATCCTCATGAATCCTTGATCAACTCTAGAAAGCATCATTTTCCAGGCTCTACAGCTAGGAAGTAACAAAGGTTTGTATTCAGATGTAAGACTTCAGAGTTTATGCTATTTCTAAAGGGTAAATGAAGGCAGAGTAATTACACTGAGGACTCATACAAAGATAATGCTACTACTTAGGTTAAAAAATATCTTTCGCCGAAAGCGGTTTGGCTCAGTGGATAGAGCGTCGGCTTGGGGACTGAAGGGTCCTGGGTTCGATTCCGGTCAAGGGCATGTACCTTGGTTGCAGGCACATCCCCCAGTAGGAGGTGTGCAAGAGGCAGCTGATCAATGACTCTCTCTCATCGATGTTTCTAACTTGCTATCTCTCTCCCTTCCTCTCTGTACAAAATCAATAAAATATATATTTAAAAAATATCTTTCTGTTAGTTAGCAAAGTAAATGAAATTTCACTGAAAAATAAATGGATCATTTGATTTATTTATAAATTTATACAAGGGTTGCCACAAGGGTAGCAAATCACTATTCTTTTTAAAATGTGATAATGTTAGAACAAAAAGATACATTCAGAGTATTTACTTTTAGTTATATATTAAAGAGGTTGGTTAGGAATAATTTTTTCTCCAAACTTGTTGATGTATTTATGAGGATAACAGCTTAGAACTTTCCTTTTCTTAGTAATATTCTGAGAGTGTCTGCAATTTTTCAGTATTTTGACTCACTTTAATTGGAGTCAGGCTTTCCTATGTGAAGTACTATTTTCCTCAAACTGGGAACCTACTAATAATTTCAATTTAAAAAGAGCTTGTGGCAAAAGGACTTTTCCAATTCTTGGCAAGTTTGAAGTTCGTTGCAATTTTACTGTGGATAGAAAGCTTTCCAAATGGGGGAAATCACTCTACAAAGGAAAACTTTCAATCCCTTTCTCTCATGTGACTGGAACATAAAATGATTTTAACAGCCATGTATGAATCTGGACATTATTTTTAGTTGTTTAGGACTTCAAAAGCACTTTCAAGAGGGAATTGTTTTTGCTTATTTGTGATTCCAAATCAAATACACAGAGAGATTTGGAAGATTGGCAACAGGAAGTAATCTCAGTTCTATGTAGCCACTAATCTTGTGCACAAAAATTCAACTTTTATGAACAAAGGAAAAGCATTCTCTTTTAAGTTATAAATACAGCCAATGCAGCTTATATTGTTTTCATAACTTAAAAGAAGATGCTTATTTTAAGCTCATTTTTTGAGCTGCATTTCAAGAATCATTTTAGAGTTGGCCTAATTCAACAAATTTCTCATTCTACTGTCTTCATATCTGTTGTTACATTAATAACTGCATAGTCTCAACATAGATCTCTAACGTTTACATAGTCCTTTCATATATTTAACCATTTAATACTGGCCATTTTGTGAGATAAATTTTATTCCCACTTACATGTGGGTAAGTGAGAAGTTTAGAGCTTTACTGAGCATCATCTAGTTAATAAGTGATAGAGCCAGTGTTAGAAGCCAGGTGTTTTGACAGCAAATTTGGTAAACTTTCCCTTCACATCATTGCTTTGTGTGCGGATTTCTTAGCTGGACATTACATTGTTGGCTCCAATCAAGTTTGTGATAAATTAAAATCTCTAGATCTTTTTCATATGTTGTTTTTAAATTAGGCTCTCCTCCTCCTGTACATCTGCAATTGATATTTCGAACTTAAATACAGGACTTTGTTTATACTCATTCATTTTCATCTTATTATTTTCTACTTATGTTTCCAGCCATCTGAGATATTTTCAATCTTGATTTTGTTATCCAACTTATTTATTATTCCTTCCAGCTGTGTGTCAGCAGCAACTTTTATAAGTAGAATGTCTGATTATAGAAGCCATCCTAATCCTTTCTTTAATATACTATGTGCCTATCACCAGTTGGAACTTAATAAGTAGTAATTAATAAAAAAATAGTTTTGTTGTATAGGGTAAAGGAAAGAAAACCTATATATAATTTTTTGTACCTAAGTATTTCAAGACTATATTGTAGAACTATTGTGGTTCTCGCTTATGTTTTGATATTTTTATAATATTTTTCATGTTAAAAACAAAACAGTTGTTAAATATTTTTCTTTTATACCTGAATCCAGTCTCAGGATTTTAAGAATCTATTGCCTTGTAATTCTAGTTTTCTGAAATTGCCCTGATGTCACTAAGGTTCCAAAATTTCCTGAGGAGAGAAAATCTAATTATAATAAGGAGGGCTATAGTTACATAGCAAAGAAAGGTGTTTTGTTTGTTTGTTTGTTTATCTTTACTTAGATATATATTAAAAAGTAATACAGTAAAGCAACAAGCAGACTGTCAAATTACAGCAGGTAGGGTAGGGAGATCTGGGGGAGATAATAGATGAACCAAAGTACTTGCATATAAGTACAACCAATGGACACAAAACTCTGAGGAGGGAGGGTATGTATGGGACTGGGGGGGCAATGTTAAAATATGTACACAGATAATAATTTAATAAAAAAAGTAAAAAAAAGTAATAAAAATAAAAATAGCACAGTTCTCTAAAGAAAGTTTTATTTGTGCTAAACTTGAGATTGAGGAAATATTGATTATACGAAATGATATAGTTATTCTATTTTTACTTGCAGTATTTTATGGGTGGTGCTGACTTTGTGATGGGAGGTTCAAGTCCCCCCAAGCTGCCCATCACTGTCTGCATACGATGGGAGTGACCCTAGCCAGCCACTTAGCACTCGATTGCCTTCATGCGCTTACCATACTCTGTAACTCTTTATAAGCAATACATTTATAATTCCCTATAAGCAATAACTCTGGTAAAATGAAAGAAAAGTTATGTAAAACAATATTGTCAACAGTTATTACTGGTTTTACAGATGGAAATTTTTAGATAACATTACTATAATAATGATCTGATGTAATACAAAGTTTATTTTATTAGCAAAATTCACTTAATAGCTTTGTCAATTGCTTTAATTCTGTATTTATGAAACTAATAAAGTCCAGAAAGGGCTAGTTAAAACCTCTAGTTACATTTTTGGGCATCTCATGGTGGAAACTATATAACAGTAGTTGCATTCATGTGGATTCATGAAGCTATGGGATTGTAGTTTCATTATTGAGCCAACTCTATTTAACTTAAAAAAATAGTTTTGGTCTTTTGCATTTTTACATTTAAAAAAATTTTTGTATATTTTTGTGCTCAAATGGAAGGTACATTGCAATGTTCTAAATCTTAATTAGATATACTTTAGTGATCTAGGAAGTGGAGGTTCTCAAAGATATCATTAGAAAGATATAAGATTTGTCATGCTGAGAAATCTTGATTTTATGAAGCAACTGTAATGGAGACTATTCTGATTTCTTCTAATCTAAACCATAGTCAGTGGATTTCACTGCCATTATCTTTGCGAACATCTCAGAGGGTTAATTCAGTGTTTTCTGAATATAAAAGCATAATCTAGAACTACTGAATATACAATATAAAGTTGTGCTCTTTTAGACTTTATGAACTGTATCAATAAATTGCCAAAAGTAATCTTCAGAATAATATTATTATGCTTTGAAGTGTTAAAGTTCTCTTTCTTGAATCATTTATTTGAAATTTAATCTTGGTCTATTTCTGGAAAGGATTTGGGATGCATTTGGATTTGGAGCAGTCTCCTCATAATAACTGAGTGCCATTACACATTAGATGTGATTGTCGAAATTTGCTTTATCTGTATGAATTACTTTGTTCTGCAATTAATTTCTATCCTTAAAACAGCCACTGGTTTTATGTTTGCAGAATATATTTCCAAAACTACTCTTTTGGCATCCTTTTCAGTGGTTAAGAATTAAATTTAGCTTTCTAATTTTCTCCTTCTTGTAACATTTGAAGATAAATGTAAGAGTGTATTTTGAATATTCAACTATTAAATCACTTGGTCAGATTTTCCCTAGAATGACATATTTGAGTCATCTTTCTTATTTTCTTAAATGTTCAAGAAATAATGCCTCTCAGTCAGCATTTCGTTTTCTTTCAGTTTGTTTCTTTGTTTGATTTCTATTTTTGTTTCTTTCATCCTTTTTTAGTTATCTTTTTATCTGAGCATCTCCCTTTCTTAATTTCTTGAGTTACATATAATGGTGTTTGTTTTTCCTGAAGGAATTGTACTCTGTGAAATTCTTAGGATGAAGAACTTATATTTATTTAGAATTAGGTATATTATTATTAAGTTTATCATAAAACTTTCTTCCCAAAGCAGGTCAGACACAGGAATATGTAGGAAAGGCCTCTGAAGAGTCTAAAATTGATCTTTCTAAGATATGAAATAATATATATATTTTATATATATATTGTTGTAATAATGAATGAATTTGTAAACTAAGAAATACCAGAGGTTAAAAGTTCTCAATGAATAATGGAATTTCTATGTGAAATTTTTATGATACCTTGATTACTATAGAGAATATTCCTATCTAGAGGAAAAATAAATAAAAATAAGAATAAATTGTATATTTTCTTCTTTCTTCCCATTACCAGATGAAGCAAACCTTAATTAGATCCCAGTTTTCTTGTACTTATAAAGATGACTGCCTGATAAGCAGGAATACATGGAATAATGTTGATTCAGCATCAAAGCCATTGAATGTTCTTCACATGGAAAATGACCTTTCTGGTATTGACCTTATTTGAGCAATTAAATAGCAGTTTAATTCCAGTATTGGGTTTTAACTTAAGTGAAACTTGATTTTTTCCTCTCACAAAGTTTAAAATGTGATATGTAAAGATGGCTATTTTTAAAGACTTGGGTTTACTTAAAAGTTAAATCTAAGTACAAATTTATAGGCAGAAATAGGACACAATTTGATTTAACTAAATGTATTTAAGAAATAAGTTACATTTAAGGATTTAGTCTCATGCATTTAAACAAAGCAAATATGTTTGTAGGGATGAAAGTGATATGGTAAAATGAAAAATAATCTATAATAATAAAAGCATAATATTTTAATTGGACCAGACGTCCTTCCGGACGACCTTCCAGATGAAGCTGTTGGGGTGGGGGTTAGGGAGGGTGGGACTAGGCTGAGGCAGAGGTGGGATCTGAGCCCCTTGCACAGATTTTGTGCAATGGGCCTCTAGGCATAACTTACAGCATCATTTGATTACAAATCATAAATTTTTAATAATCTAGCCATTTTTAAAGTTTATTGTAAAATTCTCATGTGTAATGATACTAAATGTTATATAATTCCTTTCCTCTTTTCATCTTGTATAACAAAAGGTGTAAATTCATCTGTTGGAAGACCAACAATTGGAACAAATTCTGGAAATGTTCATCTGGACAGAAGTAAAAATGAAAAAGTAAAAAGAAAATCAAGTACTCAGTCAGGAAATAAAAGCTCAAAAAGGAAACAGGTGCATTTAGATGATGAAAACATTCTCTGTGATAATGGAAATGCACTACCCCAGTATAAAAATGTTAAAATACCTAAGGCATCAATTGATATGCAGAATAAATTGGATGGCAAACTAGCCCGAGTAGCACAAAGCAACAAGTGTGCTGCCAAGGACAAATTGATTACTGGCCAAACAAAGTTAACTCAGTTTTTTAGACTATGAAGTTGTCTTTTATGTACTTTAGAATCATGTATGTATAAAACCATTCACCAAGCGCATGTTCTTAATTATTAAGAGATCAGGTGTAAATTGGGATGCTTTATTATTTGTTTTAAATGTTTTTATTGTTTAAAGTATTACATTTGTCTTCTTTTCCCCCCATTGGCCTTTCCCCAGACACTCCCACCCCCTAGCACATGTCCTCACCCTGCTAGTGTCTGTGTCCATTGGTTATGTTTATATGCATGCATACAAGTCCTTTGGCTGATCTCTTGCCCCCTTTCCCCTTCCCTGCTTTCTCTCTGAGGTTTGACGGTCGGTCTGTTCGTGATGCTTTATTATTTTGGTCTAGAGTGTATTATTTTGGTCTAAGCATTGTTTAAAAAATACAACCAAGTCGTAATTATGCAGAGTATTCACAAAGTTTAATGTACAAAAAGCATATCATTTAGGTTAATGATATCTCTTTATACTGCTTTCTTTTACAATAGACATTTAAAATAATATAAGTCATAATAACATTCAGGGCTTCCCTTCCCTCCTCCTTCCCCCAGGCAATTAAATAATTTTGTTTTCCTCTGAAAAGATCATGTGGTCCAACAGGTATCAGACTTGCCAACACGGTCGATAGACTCTTCCCAGCATACACCTGATCACTGAAAGAAAAAAAAAAAAAGGCTTAAATTGTTTAAAGGACTGTTACCATCACACAAAATTTATTAGACATGAAAACAGTGCATCTAATATAGCTTATTTGGAATAAGTCAAAATTATAGTAACTAATTAAATGCTTTTTAATCCCACATATTTGGCAGGAGTCATTTAATGGAAAAAAGTGTGATTGAACCGTGATCTTATTTAATTTTGTTATCATTGGATCCAAATTCAGTTAAACTCAAGAATTCTGTTTTATGGCACTAAGACTTAAAGAATTGAATTTTAAAGGACTACTCACTGTCAAAATCTCTCCTTCCTATAGGAAATTTAGCTGAGTTTTCTTCATCCCCAGTTTCTCTCTTTTCTTGTGTTGATTCAATATTCTGAACTCCAATCTCAGCTGGAAAAACTACTGCTCCTTTTGGTGCAAGATCGGGTTTGATAGCCAGATTCAGTGGCAAACCATGATTCAAGAAATTATGTTTGGAGCCTGCGTTCTGTAAAGAAAAGATTGATTTGATTTGCATTTTGCTGTCTTATTTGGAATGGTAATATAATACCATTGCATATTATTCTTATTGATTAATTCAAAGATGACTGTTTCGACTTTTTAAAAATATCTGATATTTTTAAATGATGAGTTGTTGTCCAGGATGAAAGAACAACCTGGCATGTATGAAATTTCATCAGTTGCCCTAATGCGTATTGTGGCTATTTGCATATACTTCTGTTTATAAAAGTATCAACTTTCAAAGCATCCATAAAAATCTTTCAAATAGTCATTGCAATTAAGTCAGATTGCCACTTACCCTTGAATTTTTGTTTTCCTCATCATCCATGAAACCGCTCTCATCATTTTTATATTGTGGCAGGGAAGGAGCAATGACCGATTTCTCTGCAGTATCTTCCTTCTGAAAGGCTTTCCCCATTCTGAAGGTGTTAAATACCATGTCATCTTCTAAATTTCTTATGGACTTGGATGCTGAAAGGAAAATGGCTTGAGAAAGCAAAGAAAAAGTTAGTATTAATATGTAGGAAGAGAGATTCATTTTTGCCATTCTTGGTTCGATGTTTGCTTGGAGTCCAAGATGTGTAGAATGGAGAAAATTTTCTCCACCTGCTTCGTAAATGATCCCTACCTTTATATATATTTCCAGCCTGAATGGAAAGCACTTCAAAGACAGACTTTCATCACTTCAGAAATGACTCATCAGGTAGAGCTAACCTTTTGTTTAGCTGCTAATACCTACATTGTTTGGGTTTTAGTGGCATATTGTTTTGTTTTGAGTGGCAATTTTCTCAGAATCTGATTAAGATCCTTGGCAGAATGCTTTCTGTTGAGCAGATTATGGTCTCTTGAAAATGGTTGGTGATTAAGGAAGACCACAGGACATCAGGCTCTCCATATTCTCAGTGTTTTCTTGTGAAAAGTTTCTGATTAAGATATTGAAACCAAAGTTATTTCACTCAGTGAAGATAAGAATAAAAGTTTTATTTACTTTTAATCCTGATTAAGTTGAAATAATCTTCAAAAGGGATTTTCTTTCATAAATGCTTGATATAGTAGTCTTCGTTGATTAAAGTGAATATACCTCTCAGTATGAACAAAATCAACCTAAAATTGACTTGTCAGGTGTGTTTTATCTCTATTTACAAAAGGATATTACTGTATTTACTAATAAATTTAGCAATTAAATAATAAGCAGTTCATGAAGAGAATATTTATCTGTTCCTTAAATATTAATGTTGGATGATGAATGTATTGTATGATTTTTAATTAAACATTTTAGAGTTAATTTCTAATTTTGACCACAATATGGTAGAGAATATATTCTTGATATATTATTCTGGCACATATTAGGAAGCGTTTTTCTAGGATGTATTTCTAGGCATTAAATTGACAGGTCATGGAGCATGTGCATGTTCAGCTTTACTGATGCCAAAGTGTTTACAGAAGAGTAGCAACAGTTTTAAGCCTCCACCAGCAGGCTATGCGAGTTCCCATCACTTCATGTCCTCGCCAATACTTGGGTATCTTACTTTGCTTTTAATTTGTATTTTCCTAATTACTAAAAAGATTGAATATTTTTTTGTATGTTAATGAACCATTTATCTTTTCTCTTACATAAAATGCATTTTGGAAAAAAAAAATACTTGTCCATTTTCTGTTGAGTGTTTTGTCTTTTTCTTATTGATTCATGGGAGCTCTTTATGTATTAATAGGTATCCTGGATATTAATTCTTTGTTAGTTACATGTACCCGGATATCTTTAAAATATTTCTATATATTCTAAAAGTTTAACTGCTTTTGCTTTCACATTTAAATTCTTAATTTATCTGGAATTTTGTGTCTGACACAGGATATCTAATTTTACTTTTTTTTCCTAAAAGTCCTTATAAATTTCTCTAATACATCCTGTTTCCTTTAATCTATAATGTCAGCTCTTCAGTGTATCAGGCTTTTATACATGAGTGGGTCTCTTTCAGAACTCTTTATTCCACTGACAGATCCAGTCTTAATAATTAAAACTATAAATTGTTTTCAATATCTGGTAGGGCAAGTTTCTAAACCCTCTGACTCACCCCTTAGTTTTACTTCTACAGTACTTCTTTGGCTATTGTCCATTTATTTTCCATATAAATCTTCATATCAGCTTTTCAAGATCAGTGAGAAACCTTGATGGGATTATGAAGGGAATTGCATTGGTTCTGTAAATTGATTTCAGAGGGGAATTAACACCCTTAAGATAATTTTATTATACACGAACATGGTACTTTTCCATATTTATTTAGATCTTCATTAACCTTTTAATAAGATTTTTCTTTGTAAAGGTTGTATTATATATCTTTTGTTGAAAGAACTCTAATTCTTTTTTTAAAATATATTTTTTATTGATTTCAGAGAGGAAAGGAGAGGGAGAGAGATAGAAACATCAATGATAATAGAGAATCATTGATCGGCTGCCTCCTGCACACCCCCTAAAGGGGGGTTGAGCCCATAACCTAGGCATGTGCCCTTGACTGGACTCAAACCCCTAGACTCTTCAGTCTACAGGCCAGCACTCTATCCATTTAGTCAAACCTGGTAGGGCGAATTCTAATTCCTTATAATTTAATTATAATTAAGCTTCCCCCCCCCCAAGTTATTATAAGTGGTATCTTGAAAAAGTTTAACTTTTCTAACATAATTGCTGATCTGTACACACATAATTGATTTTTGTGTAGTGCTTTCTTCTATATTAGTCTGAACAAGTTTGTTTTAATAAAATATTGATTACTTGTTACAAAAAATTACCAAGATTTTCATTGCAATAGTATTTTCCCACACACATCAAAATTTAATAGCAATATGTCTTTCTCAAATTGTCATTTTGTGTTTTGTATCCCAACCCTCAAAACACAGACATAGGTTTTTGAATATCAACAAGCCATTTATAGAAGTAATAAGATACAGCTATTAATAAACATTACACAGGGTACAATGGAGGTACCTGGGCAAATACCACCAACATTTATAGGAAAAGGTTTAAAAGTATAAGTACTAACATGAGCCACATAAACCCACTATGTCTACCCAAAACCAAAATGGGGGAAACGTTATTGCCATTCTGCCAAACACCACATAACTAAAAAGGCTGCATTAAGGGTCATGAATCCAATGTATATGTCACAGAATTAAAATTCCAGTTAAGCAACTGAGCTACTCACTGAAGTAAATTAAAAAGTAAGATCAAACTTCTTTAACATATCAATGCCATTTTAGAAGCATCATCAGAACAGAGATTTAATTATAAATTGGCCTGAACCAAAAGAGAATCTATCAGCAAACATCCTAGGAAAGCTGTGGAATCATGTTCTTTGTTTTTCTTAAAACTCACCAGGTTGGTTCTGAGCTTTTCATGTAATCTCCCAGGAGCTCTGAGGTCTACATACTAATTAATTAAGAAATTGATAGTATTTAAGCAAAAAGAAAACTAAAAGTAGACCTTGTTCTCACATATATTAGATAGGTAGATTCTTAAAAATCACATGCAAATGTAAATCATAAAACCAATTTTATGTTACATAAAAAGCTAGACTGCAAACTGCATGCTTAACATAATATTTTACAGTAGAGGCCTGGTGCACGAAACTTGTTCATGGGGGGGTGGGGTCCCTCAGCCCAGCCTGCACCCTCTCCAATCTGGGGCCCCTTGAAGAATGTCCAACCTCCTATTTAAATGGGCAGTTGGACACCCCTCTTACAATCCAGAACTGCTGGCTCCCAACCACTTGCCTGCCTATGTCTGATTGCCCCTAACCGCTTCTGCCTGCCAGCCTGATCACCCTCTAACCACTCCCCTGCCAGCCTGATCGACACTTAACTGCTCCCCAGCTGGGCCGATTGCCCAAACTGTCCTTTACTGCCATCTGGGTTACCTCTATCCTCCACTGCTGGCCCGGTCACCCGTATCTTTCCTCCCCTGTAGGCCCCATCATCCACAACTGCCCTCCCCTGCTGACCTGATCACCTCCAACTGCCCTCCCTTGCTGCCCAGGTCACCCCTAACTGTCATCCCTTGCCAGCCTGGTTCCCACTAACTGCCCTCCCCTGCAGGCCTGGTTCCCCCAATTGCTCTTCTTTGCGGGCCTGTCACTCGGCCCCCCCCACCCCCCAACTGCCCTCCTCTGCTAGCCCGATCACCCCTAATTGCACTTCCTGCTGGTCTGTTCCCCCCGCAACTGCCCTCCCCTGCAGGCCTGGTTCCTCCCAACAATCCTCCCCTGCAGGCCTGTCCCCTTCCAACTTCCCTCCCTTACAGGCTTGGCTCCCCCCCAACTGTTCTCCCCTGCAGGTTTGGTCCCCCCTCAATTGCCCCCCACTACAGGCCTGATCTCCCCCAACTGCCCTCCTCTCCTAGCCTGGTCACCCCTAACTGTCCACAACTGCCCTCCCCTGCAAGCCATCTTGTTGTGGCCATCTTGTGTCCACATGGGGGCAGCCATCTTGTGTCTTGGAGTGATGGTGAAGTTGCATATTGTTCTTTTATTAGATAGGATAGGAAAGTCTATGAGAGATTTCTTGTAAATATTTATGCCATGATACAAAACAAATATGTGCAAACTGCAAGTTCCCTAAAATAGCAGTTAAAGAGTTTATATACAGAAAGATGTCACTATGATCAAATGTATTTCCTAGAGTTTACGACACAGAACAATAGCTTCCACAGGCTCATCCTCCATGGCCTTCTTCCTTGTGTGACAGTTTGACTCCTTTATTCTGATTCTCACTTTCCCACAGTCAAGTTTATCAGTTTTGTTAGCCTTTCTAACAGCTAACTTTTGGCTTTGTTGTTTTTCACTATATAATTTTTCTATTTCACTAATTTTTGCTTTGTATTATTTCTTTAATTTTTTGAGGTTTATTTTGTTTTTTTCTAATTAAAATTGGAGAGATAGCTCATTAATATTTAGACTTTGAAAAATTAGCATTTAAGGCAATAGGTTTTATTTATGCCTCATTTTTGTTAGTTCCCACAATTTTGATAGGTATAATAGTTTAGTTTTAAGTTTTATAATTTTCACTAGAGGCCTGGTGCACAAAATTTGTGCCCTGGAGGGGGGGTCCTCTCAGCCCAGCTGCGCCCTCTCACAGTCCGGGAGCCCTCAGGGGATGTCTGACTGCCGACTTAGACATCCTTTTTACAGTCTAGGAGCCCTCACTTCTTACTGCCCACCTGCTCATTTTTCCTTATTGCTGGGCTCTCTGGTCCTTAGCCCTGCCATAGAGGCGGGAGAGACTCCTGCTACTGCTGCTGTGCTCGCCAACATGATCCCGGCTCCTGGCTGAGTGGTGCTTCCCCTCTGGGAACACACTGACCAACATGGGGAAGCTCCTGCTTTGAGCATCTGCCCCCTGTTGGTCAGTGTGCATCGTAACAACCAGTCATTCTAGTCATTAAAATTGTTCCACCATATAGTCGCTTAGGCTTTTATTATATAGATTATTATTTTATCTTTGATGCATCAATTAATTTAATCTTTTATATTTTTTATTTTTAAAAGTTCTCATTGGTTC